GAAGACGAGCAGGGGGAGGAGGAGGAGGAGGAGGAGGAGTAGGAGGAGCAAAAGAACGGGAGGAGGAGGAGTAGGAGGATGAGGAGGGGCAGCAAAAGGGGGCGAGGCGGGGGAAGGACGCAGGGGAACAGGAGGAGGATGAGGAGGAGCACGACGGGGAGGAGGAGCAGGAGGAGGAGGAGGATGATGATGATGATGCTGATGATGCTGATGATGATGATGATGATGATGATGATGATGATGATGATGCTGATGATGATGCTGATGATGATGATGCGGAGGAGGAGGAACAGGAGAAGGAGGAGAAACACGATGAGGAGGAGGATAAGGATGAGGCGAAGGAGGAGAAGGATGAGGAGAAGGAGGAAGAGCAGGATGATGATGATGAGAAGGAGGCGGAGGAGGAGAAGGAGGAGGAGGAGGAGAACGAGGAGGACGAAGAGGAGGCGGAGGAGGAGAAGGAGGAGGAAGGGTAGGAACATAAGTAGGAGTAGGAGTAGGAGTAGGAGTAGGAGTCGGAGGAACCTAAAGATACAAGAAATGAATAGGAACAACGATAACATAAATTCTAAAGTTAGCATTATAATACAACAATGAATGCTTGAACAAGCAATCAAAGTAACTGTCGAGGACGACTGGGAAAAGGAGCGAGGAGCAGGAGAGAGAACGATATGATGATGATGATGATGATGAGGATGATGAAGATGAAGAGAGGAGGATGAGCCCCCTGAGCCGCGGCGGAGGCGGAGGCGGCCGCGGCGGAACAACCCGCGCGCCGACAGCGGCGGCGAGGAAGGAGGAAGAAGGAGGAGGACGGTAGGCGCAGACAATGAGTAGGAGTATGATTAGGACGGAACATGAAAAGGCGGAGGAGGAGGCAGGACGAGGAGAAGAGAGATAAGGACGAACGAGGAAGGAGGAATCAGAGGAGGAGGGGGACGAGGACAACCTGAAGAGGAATCAGGACGAGACGGAGACGGGAGCAGGAGGGAGGCAGAGGCGGAGGAGGATGGAGGATGGAGCAGGATGAGGAAGGCGGAGGAGAAGGAGGAGGAAAGAGGGTGAGGCGGAGGGGGATGAGGAGAAGGAGGGAGGATGAGGAGGAGGAGGAGGAGGAGGAGAACGGAAGACGAGCAGAGGAGGACGAGGAGAGAGAAGGAGGAAGGAGCGAAGGAGATGTAGGAGGGAGGAGGAGCGGCGGAGTCGGAGAAGGCGGAGGCTACCAACGATAAGAGGAGGATGAGGATGAGGTGGAGGAGGAGGAGGAGAAGGAGAGGAGGAAGAGGAGGGGGAGGGAGGAGGAGGAGGACGCGGCGAAGGAGCAGGCGGAGGCGGAAGAGGAAGAGAAGAAGGCGATGACGCGATGAGGGAAAAGGAGGATGAGGAAGAGAAGGGGGAGGAGCAGAAAGAGGAGAGAGAAGGAGTAGTAGGAGAAGGAGGAAGATGCGGAGGAGGGAAGCGAGGGAGGAGAGGAGTGGGAGTAAGTGGAGGAGGAGGAAAAAGGAGGCGATGGAGTTGGACGATAACAAACAGGAAGTGGAGAAGGACGAGGCGGAGACGGGGAGGAGCAGGAGGAGAAGAAGGAAAAGAAAAAGGAAAAGGAGGAAGAGGAGGAGGAGCAGAAGGGGGAGGAACAGAAAGATGAGGACGAAAAGGAGTAGTAGGAGGAGGAGGAAGAGGAGGAGAAGGAGCAGAAGGGGGAGGAACAGAAAGAGGAGGACGAGAAGAGTAGTAGTAGGACGAGAGGAGAAGAAGGAGGAGGGATGAGGAGGGAGAGAGGATGATGAGGAGGAGGTGAGAGGGAAGGGGGAGGAGGAGGAGGAGAGGAGGAGAGGAGGAGGAGGAGGAGGAGGAGAGCGGGAAGAGGATGCGGGGGGAGTGGGAGAGAGGAGGAGCAGGAGGAGGAGGAGGAGGAGGACCGAGAGTGAGGATCAGCAGGAGGAAGAGGACGAGGCTGAGGAGGAGGAGAAGGATGGCAGGAGAAGAGAGGAGGTGGAGAAGGAGGATGAGGAGGAGGAGGAAGGAGGAGGAGAGGCGGAATGAGGAGGATGAGGAAGAAGAGGAGGATGAGGAGAGCGGAGGAGGATGAAGAGGAGGAAGGCGGGGAAAAGGTCGGAGGAGGAAGGAGGAAAAGGCGGATAGAGTAGAAACGGTGGAGGAGGAGGCAAAAGAGCCGGAGGAGGAGAGAAGGAGGAAGGCGAGAGGAGAGGCGAGGAGGCGGAAGGAAAGGAGGAGAGGAGGAGGGAAGACGAGGACGAAGGAGGAGGAGTAGGAGGTGGAGTAGGTGGAGGAGGAGAAAGAGCGGAGGGACTGGACGCCCACACAGGAGAGTACTCCAGGGACGAGGTGGAGACGGGGGGGAGCAGGAGGAGAAGGAGGAAAGCAGGAGGAGGAGGAAGAGGAGGAGAACGAGGAAGACGAAGAGGCGGCGGAGGAGGAGGAGGAGGAGGAGGAGGAGGAGGAAAGGGGAGGAGGAGGAGGAGGAAAAAAAAAACAAATAGGTCCCCATCGCCCCGCGTGCACCGCGCCCGTCCCCGACCCCTCGCGCCACCCTTCGCTTTTCGCGCGCGCGCCGAATCGGGAGACGCGGCAGCCGCCCGCATGGCGGCCGCCAGCGGGCGCGCAGCGGCACAAACTGCGGCAGCGGGCCGGCCGCCCTCCTCAGGGAACGGGCCGCGCAGAACGACACCCTTCGAGGAGCGCCCCCGCCAAGGCCCCGCACCTCAAGTACAAGACGGGGGTGATGACCGACGGGGCTGTAGACAGCACGGCCGCGGCCATGGTATCCCTCCAGGGTTCATGGCCCACTGTATTGTAGTTTGCCCCGCCACGCTCGATGATCCTCAGAGCGTGTGCTGGGGCCCACGGGAGCGACGAGAGAAAGTAGGTCCTCCACCAAATGGCGCAGCGACCTTGCGCGGTAGTTTGCGCGGGCCGCCAGTGCAGCACGCTGCACTGCAAACGAAACCGTTTACGCGCGACCTTGGGCAACTGACGACCCCGTTTTGTTGCGACGCCCGCGTGTGTTTTCCCACTGGGGCCTGCCAGTGCGACGCAAACGGTCCAACAAGAGGTGGCGCAAGTTGCGTGCTCATCCGGAACCAAAAATAATACAACCTTGTGGGGCCAATACATGCTGGAACGGTCCATGATCGCCGGGGCCGCGCCTCTCGACATCAACGAACCATCACAAGCAACACAAACTGAAACGCCGGCTCGGGGACACAATGCAAAAGGGGGGGATCAACATATCCACATGGACGCGGGGAACATCAATCCCCCGAGAAAAGGGGGTCATCCTTACATAACAAGGGCCGGCACAAGGTGCGCGCTATGGGCGAAGCCGAACGGGTCAAACACACACGCACACACCCACGCACACACACACATACACACACACACACACGCGCACACACACACGCGCACACACACACCACCGCAGGAGCCCGGCGGCGAGCCGAGGAAGCGGAAGACGACGAGGACGAGAGAGAGAGAGAGAGAGGGAGAGGGAGGGAGGGAGGGAGGGAGGGAGGGATACATATACATATATATAGAGAGAGATAGAGAAAACAAAAAAAAAGAGAAAGCGAGAGACAGAGAGAGAAAACAAAACAAAGAAAACGAGAGAGAGAGAGAGAGAAAAAGAGAAATAAAAAAATATAAACAGAGAAAGAGAGAGAGAGAGAGAGAGAGAGAGAGAGAGAGAAGAGAGAGAAGAGAGAGAGAAGAGAAAGAGAGAAAGAGAGAGAGGATGAGAGAGAAAGAGAGAGAGAGAAAAAGAGAGAGAGAGAGGGATGGAGAAGAGAGGCAGAGAGAAAGAGAGAGAGAGAGGGAACAACAAAAAAGAAAGAGAGAGAGAGAGACAACTATATATATATATATAAGAGAGAGAAGAGAGACTGAAAGAGAAACAAGAGAGAGAGAGAGAGAGAGAGAGAAAGAGAGAGAGAGAGAGAGAGAAGGATATAAATATTATCATATATATATATGTATAGAGAGAGAGGGGGGGGGGGGGGGTGGAAAAGGGGGTGGGGGCAAGCGGTAAGGGCCGGGAAGGGCGCAACGCTCGGGCTGGGCGAAAGGGGGGGATAGCCACGGGGGGGTTGAGAATCAGCCCGCGTGGCCGATTTTCCCGGCGCCCCCCGGCGCCGGAGGCGGCCGCGCGTCGAGGCGCGGGCCTTTCGGCGGGGCCGAAACCAGCTACGCGCGGAGGATTTTTACGCTGGAGCAACGGGGGGGGGGGCGCAAAAGGGGGGGCGGCCGCAGGTGCAATAGTTCGCTCGCCTGAACTACGCGCGCGAACTATTGCGAGGGGGCGCGAACTATTGCAGACCGCCTGAACTATTGCGCGCGAAACAGGACGATGCAACGCCCGCGCGGAACTATTGCATCCACGCCGCAAACTATTGCATCCAAGCGCCAACTATTGCGTGAACTATTGCGCCTGCCCCCGCCCCCCCCATTTTCGCCCCCCCCACTGACTCGCTTAGAAGATTTCGCCCCCCCCCCCCCCCCTTCCCGATCCCCCCTTCCGCCCGGCCCCAGAGGCGAGGAAGCAACGGGCGACGAAGACGAGAGAGAGCGCGATGGGGGGTCGGGGCGAGCGGGAAGGGCCAGGGAGGGGGCAACGCGCGGCGGTCGCCGCCTGCCCTCGGAGCGGCTCGGGGGCCAGCGCCCCGGCCGCCGGAACCCTCCGCCGGCAGCAGCAGCAGCGGCGCGGATCGGCCCGCGGCGGCCCGCGCGGAGCATCTCAGCCGCCGCGCAGCCGGCCTGCGAGCCGCGGCCAGCACTTGGGCAGGGGCCGACCGCCCCGGCATTTCCTATAGTCACACCACGAAATGTTCTGAGAAACCCAAATGTTCGTAGAACAATGACAATGTTCTTAGAACTTAAACCCGATGTGTGAAAAACAAAACAAACTTCGCCAGACATGTTCTACGAACGTTTCTGGCCGATGGAGGTTCGGCGGCGCAGGCCCCCAGACCGTAGACCGAAAGTCCTCAGACTCCGCCGAGCTCCCAGACCTGGTGGAGGCTCGGCGGCGCAGGTCGTTGTTGCGTCGTCGTCGGCGGCGGCCGCCAGCAGCTGCGACGGTGTTTCGCGGGCGCTGCCCGCCGCTGTGCCGCGGCGCCGCCGGGCTCTGCCGTCGCGCAGCTGCCCGCGTTGCCGTCGCCCTCCTCTAGGGCGCCGAAATCCACGAATGCCCGCGGCTCCCGAGGCAGACGCAACCTGGGCCCAGCGGCGGCGCAGGCGCCGCGCCGAACTGGCTCGGCCAGGAGGGCGCGCCCGCGGCTCCGAGGCCCAGGGAAAGGGCGACCCCGAGACATGAATCAATACTTTCTTCGCCCGATCCTCAGCAGCCCGCCGCGGGCGCCCCCGGGAGTTCCAGGGCGAGCGACTCCGCGGGCCGTGGCAGGCGCGCCGCTGCAAGCCGCGCCGCGGCGCGCCACGTGGAGGCCCGAGCCGCGCCCTGCTGCGGGTAGCGGGCCATCTCCTGGTGAGGTTTAGACCCGCCCAGTGGCGCCAGTGCGCTGGGTCCGCGGCCCTAGGGCCCGCGCGGAAGCTGCCTCCGATGCGGCAAGATGGCACAGACCCGTGGTGAAAGACCACCGCGCGCCTGACGCGCCGGCGCCGTCCTGCAGCGGGGCGGAACGCACCCCAGAACCAACGCACTCAGGCGAGATGACCCAAGCAAGGCCCGCAAGGCCCTCCTCAGGATGCCCGAACAACTTCGGCTCAAAGAAACTGAAACCCTATCCGCGGCGAAACTCCGGCGTGCGTTTTTCGATCGGGTTGCGTTCGGTTGCCCCCCGAGACGTCCCTGGGCCAGCGGTTCGCCTCGTCCGCGTAATGGACCTACGGAAGCTCCTCCAGGTAGATCCACCAGGAGGAGCCCCAGCGCCAGATCCACGCGCCCTCCTCTGCACTCCATTGCCAGGACCCGTCGGGCTCGCCACCGCCGCCGCGCCACAGCCAGACGCCAACGGCAACGGCGACGGCGGAGTCTGGAAGCTGGCCGGTGGTCTAGAGCCAGACCCCTTCCGTCCGGCCCGAGAGGTGAGGAAGCAGCAGACGACGAGGACGAGAGAGAGAGCGAGAGGGGGACGAGAGGGGCAAGCGGGACGGGGCCGGGGAAGGGGCAACACGCGGCGGCCGCGCCGCCGCCCCCCGGAGCGGCTCGGGCGCCACCGCCCCATGGCTCGGGCAGGGGCGCCCGGCCGCCGCCCGCGGATCGGCAGCGCGGCGGCCTGCGCGGAGCATCTCCGCCGCCGCGCGGCCGGCCTGCGAGCCGCGGCCACCACTTGGGCAGGGGCCGACCGCCCCGGCATTTCCTATAGTCATACCACGACATGTTCTTATAACCCAAACATGTTCCAACAACAAAAACAATGTTCTCATAACGTAAACCCGATGTGCTAAAACAAGACACACCCCGCCAGAAATGTTCTGAGAACGTGTCGTGGGAACCACAAAAGGTTCTTGGAACGTTGTTTCGGGAGCGGCCAAGAGGGGGGTGTCCAAGAGGGGGGGGGGGGGGGGGCAAATCTGACCGGCGGCACGTGCGCGGCCCCGCGGGGGGGCCAGGGACGTATGGGGCCATGATATATGGGGAAATATCATGCCCCCGCCATGATATCCACCACCCCCTAGTCATCACCCCCCTCTTTTCCGCCCCCGATTGTTTGGTATAGGGCTATAGGCACGCCGGGACGCTTCGCCACTGCTTGAAGCACGGCGCCCGGCAGACCGCGCCTCGAGCAGCACGCCGTGCCGCCCCTCCGAAAGAGGGCCGCGTGCGCACACTCTTCGTGCCCCCTTTCTGTCGGGCCCCGCTGGGGGGCACCCGGGGCCCACGAGAAGTGCACGCCTCGCCGCCCCCCCCCCAAGCGTCGCCCCCCCTGACGCAACGCCCGACGACCTCTCCCTCGCCATCGCTCGGACGTCCATTCCATGTGCTTTTGTTTCGGTCTCGTGCGTGGTTTTTCGCCAAAGGATGAAGGATGCTCCTCGGTGGTCCTCGCCGAAGGAAAACATGCACACGTCCGAGCGATGCCAAGCCCAAGCGTCGCCCCCCCTGACGCAACGCCCGACGACCTCTCAGCGCCGCCGCTCCTCCGCTCCCCTCGGGTCGGGCGAAAGGGGGGAAATAGCAAAGGGGGGGTTGAGAATCAGCTCACGTAGCTGATTTTCCCAGCGCCTCCCGGCGCCGGAGGCGGCCATGCATCGAGGAATGGGCCCCCTCGGCGAGGCCGAAACCAGCTGCATGCCACAAACTTCCTAACCCCAACCTTCCCAATCCCCTCCCTTCGTCCGGCCCGACTCTCCGCGCCGCCGCTCCTCGCTCCCCCTCCCCCCGCCCCCTGGCGCACCACGAGCCGGACATCTCCGGCCGGCAGTCCTGGCTCAGCCTCGGAAGGGGGGAGGGGGGGGGCGTCGATGGCCGGGCGTGGGGGTCCGGCCGCCGCCCCCAGCGGGGTCGGAGCGGCCGTCCACGGAGGAGGGTCAGCGCAACGTCCCTACACTCAGCGGCCTGACCTAAGGAACGATAAATAAGGAACGAAGCCCCTGTTTTATCCCAAGGAATAACACACAAGGAACGATAAATAACACATGACGCACAAGGAACTGTAAATAGCGCATACAAGCCTAAGGAACGACCGAGCCCCTTTTGAAAAGTAAGTGTTCCTTACTCAAGCCGCTCACTGTACTTCCGAGCGAGCGCCGAGCCCATCAGGCTTCGACGGTCGCGGTTGGCCCCTGGGATCCAGAGTCCGAAACCCTTCCCCTCAAAGAGGCAAAGCAGAAACCGAAAAACTACAGACGAGTCAGGGCGGGGGGGGGAAAGGAGGCAGCAGGCAAAGGAGGGAGAGGAAGGGGTTGGGAGGGCCTTGGACATACGAGGCCCCTCTCGGGGCGCCGATTGGCCGCCTGGGGCCGTCTTCGGGCTGTGCTTGAGCCCTTTTGAGCCGTCCTGAGGCCCTTTCCCGCCGTCGCGAGCGTCTCCAAGAGGCAGGCCAAAAGCAGGCTGAGCACGGCGGCGCCGGGAGGAGCGGGAAAGGAGGGGGAGCTGGCACGGTCGAAGCGTTCGACAAGGATGTGCGGCAACACTGCGACGCACGCGTCCAACTCAGACAGAAATAGCATGAGCACGCGACAACAACACGATCACCATGGCCAGACACCAAACACAGGCATCGATACCACAGTATTGATGCATGTGGTTGGTGTGTGTTGCAGGTATGTTTTGACATATGTGGCTCACACATACGCTACTCCGATACGTCGGTAAACCTAAATCATACAATTTGCAGGGCCTGGCATCATGCGATCAATAGCGTACACCAGAAGCGTACACCGACATCATCAACTAATAACTTATAATTAGACCATACAGCATTAACATATACCAATGACATGTTCTGGCAAAGTACATAGTCGTACACGTATGATGCTTGGTGGAGATTGCTCGAAACACAATGATAGCTCGCGTTCGTTACTGTCTTTTCCACCCAAACTGTTTGAAGAAGGGGAAAGCTGAGTGGATCTCGCGAAGCAAGCTCGAACTACAATACACGGTCAAAGCCCAAGTAGCCGCGCAACGTACCACATGGGGGGAGAGCCACGGAGGCATGATGAAAGGGCGACGCGGTTACCCAAATTGGTTGTGCCACGCACCCGTGCCTTCTGTTGATGGAAGCACAATGTGGTCAGGATCATGAATGTGGACGGGGGCACCGCGAGCCAGACTTATCCAGAGTTCGTCAAGCCCCTTGCCACGAAGAACAAGGGTTGCGACATGATGATGGCTGCCCCCGCAGCGACGACTAGGCAGCCAAGGGGTCGACGTCAGACATGAGAGTGCACGGCTGAAGTTCTGACGCTGCAAATTCGCCGCTGAAAGACCACCTCCCCAGGGATCTCGACCAACTTCTCCAAGGCTCACTTTCCACCCTGAATCGTTTCTGACGGTCCCTGGGCCATGGACACGACCTGCAAAAAGGTTAAGGACGTCGAGCCACCGGCCGTCGCGACCTGTTCATCGTCGCCGGATCTGAAGGTTCTCTCTGGCGGCGAGCTCGGGGGTACGCGAGACGGGGCGAACCCTCTCAGAAGGCAGGACGTCCCCCCCCCGGCCTTCCGAGAAGTGCTCCAAAGCCTCCCCAGAAGACGCAGAGCACCTCTCGGAGGGCGCGATGGCCTCTGAGAGGCCCCGCCGCCCTCTGAGAGGGCCTGCTGCTTCTCACGTCCCCCCCTCGCTCGCCGCCGAGCTGAGGCCGTCGAAAGCTGGCCGCCGCGGTCTGTTTACGGACGCAAGATCTGACTACCTCCCAAACCACCCCGACCTAACCCGAAGGGGACGATGATGATGATGAGGAGGAGGAGGAGGAGGAGGAGGAGAAGGAGGAGGAGAAGGAGGAGAAGGAGAAAGAGGAGAAGGAGAAAGAGGAGAAGGAACAGATGGAGGAGGAAGTGGAGGATGAGGAGGAAGAGGAGCAGGAGCAGGAGGAGGAGGAAAAGGGGAGACCCCAATTCCGGGGTTTGGGGGCTACGGGTGCCACACGTGTCTCCTCAGTGCTTTCCCGACGCCGCCCCCCCCTGGAATTGGAGAGCAGATTGAGGCCTTCGGGTTGAGCTGGGGTGGTTTGGTGGGTGGTACAGTCAAAAACCATGATAAGGACGCGAAGTGAGGACGCAAGACCCTCGGAAGCCGCAGTTGGGATTTTCGGGGCGGCGGACAACGAAAACCCCGGGGACGCCAGAGCAAGGAAGAGCAAGGACGCAAGGGCACCCTGAGCAAAGATGCGCGTCCTTGTTAGGGTTTTTGTCTGCAGCCCTCCCACGCCCTCTCGCCTCGCGAGGAGCCCAGCCGCCCCGACCTGCACGAGTCCGCACGCCTTGCACTGGCACGGGTCTGCACCAGTGCGCACGCCTGGGGCAAACTGGCCCTCGTCGTCGCCATCAGGAGCGCCCAACTTCGCGCTTCGCCCTGCGCGCAGCGCGAAGAACTTCGCGCTCTCGCGCCACCCCACAGGGGAGAAGAGGAGAATGAGGAGGAGTCGGGGCCGACGCGCGAAGCGCGAAGCGCGCATCACTTCGCGCCCTCGAGGGCGCCCTTGCGTCCTCCTCCTCCTCCCCATCCAGCGTGAGCGTGGACCATCACGGAGGATCCCACGGCAGGTTCGCGCGGCGTCGGCGCGCGCCAAGGTCTTTGACACCGCGTCGATCGTCCAACCTTGAACCGATGTCGGCTCCGATCGTTCGAGGTTGAATTCCGTCGGGTTCTGTGGCGTTATACCGTGTCCCGCAATGCTTCCACGTCATTCGATCATGCGGCGTTCAACCTTGAACGCTTTCGCTGGCGTCGCCGGCGCGCCATCGCCGCGCGAACCTGCCGTTCCCCCCTCGCCGCCCAACGAGGACTCGGCGGTGTGCCGCGCCCCGCGCCTGAGGCGGTGCTTCACCCGCTCGGCCTCGTCTCGCCAGGCCGCCGCGTCCTGGCGAGGCTGGGCGCGGGGCCTCCTTCGTTTGACTTGAGGCCTCGACCTGGATCGACCTCGCGCGCCGTCCTCGTCTGCCCTACAGTCGGGCCCCGAAGAAGGAACCCTTTTTGTTGGGGAGGGGCTCCGTGTTCCTTAGTTGCTTTACAGTGCTCCTTGGGTTTGCCTAAGGTCTTCCATGGAAAATCGGAGTTTAATGTATGGGAAAAAGGGGCCTCGTTCCTTATTTTTCGTTCCTTAGGTCAACGCCCCGACTGTAGCCCACGTCGTCAGCGGCAAGAGAGGGGGGGGAAGGGAGGAGGAGGCCGTCTCAGAGGGCGGCGGGGCTTCTCGAAAGCCCTCCAGCCTTCTGAGAAGTGTTCTGGGCATTCGGGGAAGGCCGAGGGAACTTCTCGGCAGGCCGGGGGACTTCCGAGCCTTCTGAAAAGGCCTTCTCACTCTCATCGGCATGCAATCGGCATCGAAAATGATCGGCTGCGCCAAGATTCACACCAGCACCATGCAAGCACAAGGCCGCATCGGATCGTCAGAATATCGAAATCGAAACTGATCGGGCTGGCCGACACCGATACCGAACCCGACCGATCGGACAAACATGGACCATTGTTCAGCTTAGCATGGCATGATCTAGCTCCGCTTATACGCGATTGCGCTGCGCTGTGTGTGGGCTTCAGCAGAAGCCCAATGCGACGTATCCGAATGGATCATGGTGTCCAAATGCAGCGTAACGCCCTACATGTCAACGTATACTGCCGCAGCTGTACTCGACCCACCTTTTCACGCGAGCGAGTGCTGCTACATGGCTTCATGTGTATCATATCACTCTGCCCTTCCAGCCCCTATGGTGAGTTTGCACGTCGACACTGTTACTATCTTGCTGCGACCTTGCTCGCCTCGCCCAGCTTAACCTGGGCAAACCGCATGTCGCCCCGACTTGAACCACCCGATGTTCATCAAAATCACGGCCAAACCCTCGCGAATTGGAACTCGGTCCCTTCCCCTCCACCCCTGCCCATCGCTGGCGCTGATCAGACATGAAGAACGGTGATTGTTGAGTCTGTGTTGCGGGAGCAAAACACAAAGGTACAAATAGCCGGCTTAGGCCTGCGAGGGAACGAATTGCGCCTGGCGGGCGCAGTTGGAAACGGACGGGCGCAAGAGGTGAAGATAAAGCCAATGGACCCGCATGGGCACGGCGTATGCGCCCCCCTGCCCATCCCTCCTCCTCCTCCTCCTCCTCCTCCTCCTCCTCAACATCTATCTCCTCCTCTTCGTTATTCCTCCTCTCCCTCCCCATCCTCCTGATACCCCCCTTTTGTCCTCCCACTGCTGTCAACACCATCCCCTGATTCTCGCCCCTTCTGCCACTACCGATGCCCCTGCCCACAACTCTTCATCCCTCTCACGTCCCTCCTTGTCTTTCTCGAACCACCGCGAGCGCCAGTCCACTGCACACACGGGTGGGGTCATGCCCTGGCGCCTACGCAAGAGCTAGGGAGGACGAGGAGGAGGGACGCCTCCTGGGTGACGGACGGCCGCAGGCAGAAGAACCGCCGCAGAGCGTTCGAGGCGACCTCAAGAGGGCAGGGCCGAAGGGCTTCCAGAGAAGCCCTCTCGGGAGCCAGGCGGGTCTCAGCGGCACCTCTTCGGTCGTCCTCCAGCTGGCTGGCTCGGACCGAAACACTGAAGCCTGGGGCGGCCGATCGGGACGCTCCTAGCAGCCTCGGAACCCCTCAACGAGGCGCAGCTGATGAAAACCACCCTGGGCCCGCCCTGAAAACATGGGGTAGCCCTCGGAAAACCTCCGAAACACACATCGGACACCGTCCTGCCCGTCTCCTCCTCCTCCTCCTCCTCCTCCTCATCCTCCTCCTCCTCCTCTCCGCCTTGCTCCCCCCCACATCCCTCAGCAATGGCAGCCCTGCCGACTTAAACACATAACAAACAACATCTAAGAAGCCTTGCGCCCTCCCCCAGATCCCCCTCGTGCGCGTGCCTAATCGTTCCTCGTTTTCCTCCTCGTCCATGTCCCCGTCCTCCTCCTCCTCCTCCTCCCTCCTGCTCCTCCTCCTCCGCCTCCTCCCCGTCCTCCTCGTCCTCCTGCTCCTCCTGCTCCTCCTCCTCCTCCTGCCCTCCTCCCCTCCTCCTCCTGCTCCTCCTCCTCCTCCTCCTCCTCCTCGTCCTCCTTCTCCTATTCCTCCTCCTCCCGTCCTCCTTCTCCTATTTCTCCTCCTCCTCCTCCTCCTCCTCCTTCTCCTCCTCTTTCTCTTTCTCCTGCTGCCACCCGCAGGGCGCGGTCCACTGCCGTGTGGAGGATGGGCTCCAGCGCGGTAGGCGGGCGCGCGCCCGCGTGTATCCTGCCAGCGCGGCGGGTGCCAGGAGGGGAGGTCCTCCCTCCATCCTCCTCCTCCCTCCTCCTCCTCCTCCCTCCATCCTCCTCTCTCCTCTCCTCTCTCCTCCTCCTCCACCCTCCTCCTCCTCATCCTCCGCCTCCCTCCTCCTCCTCCTCCTCCTCCTCCTCCTGCTCCTCCTCCTCCTCCTCCTCCTCCTCCCTCCTCCTCCTCCTCCATCCTCCATCATCCCTCCCTCCCTCCCTCCCTCCTCCCCCCCCCTCCTCCCCCTCCCCCCCTCCCTCCCTCCTCCTCCCCTCCTCCTCCTCCTCTCCTCTCCTCGCTCCATCCTCCATCCTCCTCCTCCTCCTCCTCCTCCTCCTCCTCCTCTCCTCCTCCCTCCTCCTCCTCTCCTCGCTCCTCGCTCCTCCTCCTCGCTCCTCCTCCACCTCCTCCTCCTCCACCTCCTCCTCCTCCTCCTCCTCCCTCCTCCTCCTCCTGCCCTTCTCCTCCTCCTCCTCCACCTCCTCCTCCTCCTCCTTGTCCTTCTCCTCCTCCTCCTCCTCCTCCAAAACGAAGCCCTTCTAAGTGAGGAATCGGGCAGACCAGGACTGCCATGCAAGAACCCAAGAATGTTTGGCAGACGCAAGTTGTCGGGGGCCGAGGCAGCCGAGCCCCTCCTTGGAAGGGGCCCTGGAACACAAAAACACATACCAACAGTTCCCAGGATTCCCCTATACTCTTCCATATTTTCTGGAGTTTCGTCTCCCCCCCCCCCCGCTGTCCATATGTTCCCACATTTCCCGGGGAATCGGCGATTCATTGTGTCTGTGTGTTTCTTCCCCTCCCGACAGGGTGCCGAAGGGGGGCTCGCCGCCCCCCTGCCGGGCCCAGCATCCGCGAGGCGGCCCGCCGGCACGTGCCCCGAGCAGTCACGGCATCCCCGTGCCGCCGCACCCTCGGGCCCAAACCGTCTGACCTGACCCGCCCTTCCTCCGCCACCTTCCGCCGATGCTCCGCAGAGCGCGTACAGGGCGGTTTTTGATGTATAGGGTTCTTTTAAACTATAGGATTTTAAATACGTGGTTAATTTATGCATGAATTTATGCATGAACTCGTCGTGCTTTTAATGCTGAAACCCTGCATTTGTAATACATGCTCCGCACGCGGAGCATGTTTTGAAAACGGCACTGTACTGCTCCAACCACGTGCTCGACCTCGCCACCGAACCCTGGCAGCGCCCGTGGGCGAGCCCCCACCGCGGCCCGGCTGCTGCCACGGCCCCCGCTGCCACGGCTGGCCGCACCGGCCCACTCGACGCGGAAGTCTGTCACGTCTGAGTGGCCCTCCTCCTCCTCCTCCTCCTCCTCCTCCTCCTCCTCCTCGCCCTCCTCCTCTCCTCCTCCTCCTCCTCCTCCTTTCTCCTCCTCCTCCTCCCCCTCCTCCTCCTCCTCCTCCTCCTCTGGTCCTCCGCGCGGCCGCCCTAGTCTCCTTTCCCCCCTCTTGCACGCCGGCCAACATTCGCCTTCCGGTCGCCCGGGATCGCCACCCGCTGGAGCAGCTTTTCTTAGGGGGAAACCAAACCTACCTCGCTTTTGACCACCCTCGCTTCCAAGAGATACCAAACGATGCCAAACTACGGCCTGTACTGGTCAGGCCGCTTGACGAGGAGGCGCGTGCTATGAGTTGGTTTTGCCTGGAAGCGAAAGCGGGGTAGGTAATCCACGCTCTGAATTCTGCCTCGCCGCTGGCGAAGAAAGTGTGTTGGCGCCACCGTGCTTGTCCAACGAAGTCTTCTGCCCTGCGGCGCAGGCGACGTGCTGAGGGCCGGCTCGGGCTGTGTGCAGGTCAGCGCGATACACGCACAGTGGACTTCTTGACATACAGTCGGGGCGTTGACCTAAGGAACCCCAAATAAGGAACGAGGGCCCTTTTCTCCATAAGTGAAACTTCGATTTCCGATCGAAAATATAAGGAAAACCTGAGGCAAGCTGTGAAACACTTAAGGAACGCGGAGCCCCTCCCCAACCAAAAGAGTTCCTTCTTCAGGGCCCCGACTGTAGAGGAAGAAACACTGCATTTAGGAGAAGAAGAAACAGCAGAAATATAAACTTTTGGCGATCCCGCGGATTTCTTGGATCTGCGCTGGACCCCCCTCCCCGGCGCGCGGAGCGCGCCAGGGGCAGCGCCGGAGGCGCCGCCGGGGGGGTGCCCAGCGCGGATCCAAGAAATCCGCGCGGAGCACCACAAATTTTATGTTTACGCCGACCTTTCTACTACGAACTTACTGACGTAGAGGAAGAGGCACTGCGTAGACATAAACTTCTGGAGGCCCAAACGTTTGTATGCTTCTGCCAGTGCTTCCTCTTCGACTTCCGGAACTCCCCCCCGGCGACGACTGGCCACCGAGCGGCCCGCGGGTCCCACGGGCGTGCTCGTCCAACAGCTCCGCGGAGCCCGCAGACCTGGCGCTCTCGGCGACGCTCCTGAGCGCGCTCGCGCGCGCGAGCACGGCGGCCCCGCGCGCCAGCCCGACGTAAGCTTATGTCGGGCCTGTCCCCCTACAGGAGGATTTTCGACGAGCAAAAGAAAATACCCCCAAAATGCCCCAAGAAGGTCAAAAAGTACTAAGAAAATAATCCCCAGACTATTTTTAGACTATTTTTTGGGGTATCTTTTATTTTTCGTCGAAAATCCCCCTGTAGGGGACAGGCCCGACTTAGACGTAGGTCCGGGCCGGCTCGGCCTCGTGAGCTCAAGCTTCGTGTTCCCCGCGCCGCGCGGAGCCGCTCGAGTCGCCCTCGCGCCGCAGCCTCTGGAGATGACTCGGGCTGCGTGAGCAGGCGGGTCTTACGTTAGGTCGGGAATGTCTGAAGGGGCCTTGAAACACACAAATAAATAGACACAAATCACAGGATTCCTTGTATTTACAAATATTTTCTGGGTTTCTGTCTCCCCCCCCAACTTCCCATATTTTCCCATATTTTCGGGGGAACCGACGATTAATTGTGTCTGTGTGTCTTGTTCCCTCCTGAGTTAGGTCGGGAATGTCCTCCTACAGGCGCGGATCGTGGAAGAAGAATGAGGGATAGTCAACGAGTAATCAAGGACAGTCAAAAAAAAACACGACACATCGTCACCAGACTGATTATTACTGTGCCATTCTTGAATACTCCTCCTCTAGAGGGACATGTCCGACTTAAGCCTGGACTGGCTCGGCCCCGTCAGCTAAAGCTCCGTTTTCCCGCCCCGCGCGGAGCCGCTCGTCGCCTTCGCGCCACGGCCTCTGGAGATAACCTGGACGACGAGAACAAGCGGGCCTTATGCGAGGGGGCATACAGTAAGAGCTCGACCACAAGAAATGTTACACAAGAAGCCCAACAATGGCAGGACGGCGGCAGGAGCGAGAGTGAGAGAGAAAGAAAGAAATTGAGAAAGAGAGAGGGAGAGAGAGGGAGAGAGAGGGAGAGAGAGGGAGAGAGAGAGAGAGAACGAGAGAACGAGAGAGGGAGAAAGAGAGAAAGAGAGAAATAGAGAAACAAAAAAAACTGCAGCGCGGCCAGACCGTGAGGCTGTGCGGTATGGATGCAAGGCACTTGGGATCCCTTGAGCGTCCGAACCGAAGCCGGAGCTGGAGGCCCATGGCCCATGGCTAGGGGTCACAATGGGGAAGGGTGCCTTCGGAAAGCTGTTCGTCCTGAAATTGCGGTCTGATTTTACCAGCCTCGAACTGATCCCTATCCCTAAGATTGACACGCCAAAAGGCGATGACAATCTTAGGGATTCGCCTTCAAAAAATAAGGGAATCCCTAAGATTGGCATCGTGATGAGGAGATGCCCAGCATAGGGATAGGGATATGTTCCAGGCTGGTAATGATCGATTATGTGCACGCGCGCCCATCCTGGCAAGGCCTGTGCTGTGCTCAGGGCTGCCGCATGCGCCCTCCCGGCTTCTGGCCAGGGGGGGGCACACCTGCACCCGCCCCGGGCCGGGCGAACGGGGGGGGCAGCAAAGGGGGGGGTTGAGAATCGGCTCACGCAGCTGGCTCTCCCGGCGCCTCCCCTATTGCGGGATGCGCCCACGAGTATCGAGGAAGGGGCCCGGCGGCGGGGCCGAAACCAGCTGCATGCAGCAGATTTCGTACCCCCCCCCCCTTTCCCTATCCTCCTTTCCCTATCCCGACTGTCATGGGCTGCCTGGCGGGCCTGGCCGGGAGATCAGGATCGGTGCCCGTGCGCAGCCCTCCTCGCCCGACGCCCTGGGGAGCGGGGGTCGCAGGGGGAGGGGGGGGGGCAGGGTCAAGGGGGGGGGGGAAGGAGGAGCATCTGCAGGGGCCCACGGACACACAAACAAATGCACACAAAACCCAGGAGTACAAACATTCTATCAGATTCTCTTGATTTTAGTCTCCCCCCCCCCCCCCACTTCCCATATTTGCCAGACAATCGGCGATTCTTTGCGTCTGTGTTTTTTATTTTCCCTCCTGAGCATCGCCCCCCCGAGGCTCTGGAGAAGGAATGTGTGAGCCTCTGCCTGGGCTGGCTCCCCAGCCCCACCTTGGGCAAGAACCCCCCCCCTCCTGCCCCTTGCGCAAGCGAATGTGATTGCATTGTTTTGTATCTAATGTATTGCACGCGAAAACTAGCAATACATTTGCGCACCGGATTGTATTGCACGCCCCTAATCTGGGGCAACCCCACAGATCTATTGCATCAAATCCATTGCACCACCCTCTTTGCGCTGGACCCCCCCTTTGGGTCAACCAAACCTTCGGTGCTTCAGAGGGAACGTGTAGTTAGAGGCCTCCTATATGGGGTCCGAGTTGATGGGGTCGAAGGATCGCGCCGTGTCGCCAATGCGTCGCCGATGTATCGGCGACGTCGGCGTGGGGAAACACGGTCTCCACATCGAGCCACATCGTCGATGCATCGGCGATGCGGCACGATCCTCCGACCCTGGGAGACCTAGATCGGGGTTTCAGGTGAACGTTTTCTTATTCGGCGTTCCGACATTGGGCGGAAGGGGGGGGAGGGGGGGGGTCTGGCTCTGGACCTCTGCTTCGTGCCACTGTTTGCAGCAGTGCGTCCTGCTTGAAAAAGTCGCTGAAAACAGCCAAGATCTGCTGCACGGTGGGGGGGGGAGGGGGGGGCGCGAGGGCCACCGCGCCGATCGGCAAAACCAGACGCAAAAAAACGACCACCAGAGGGAACCGTGTAGTGCTTAAATCCACGTGCCGCTGCAGGCAGGAGGAGGGAGGAAAGGAGGAGGGGGGAGGAGGAGGGGCAGGAGGAGCCAGGAGGAGTCAGGAGGAGTCAGGAGGAGGAGGAGGAGGAGGAGGAGGAGGAGGAGGAAAAGGAAAAGGAGGAGGAGCAGGAGGCCCTGCAGACTGCTGGACTGCTCGGGGGCCCCGGGGTACGGGGGGGGGCAGCCGGTCCGTGGCCGGGCCGCGAGACGGGGCTCCGAGGACGAGGGCCTCAAGCAGTGCAAGACCAACCTGGGGCCCCACGCCCAACAGGAGGAGGAGGAGGAGGAGGAGGAGGAGGAGGAGGAGGAGGCATGAGGGGGAGGAGGAGGAGGAGGAGGAGGAGGAGGAGGAGGAGGAGGAGGAGGCGTGAGGGGGAGGAGGAGGAGGCGGAGGAGGAGGAGGAGGAAGGGAGGAGGAGGAGGAGCAGGAGGAGGAGGAGGAGGGGGCCCAACCTAGGCCCGGCACCCCCACGTCCCTGCTCTTGGGACACCCACTTGACAACGCCTCGCCCAGAAATGACCCTGACTCCCTCGCCTGGCCTCCACCTCGCCCCAGCATCCCCACGCCTCTGGACTTCTGCCCCCCCCAGGAGCCCGCACCCGACAACTCCTCGCCCAGGATCTGACCCTGACCCCCTACAGTAGATTCGGGTCGTGCCGACCCCAGCGTGCCGACCCCAGCGTTCGTTCCTGACACGGCGGGGATCGTTCAACTTTGAACGAACGGCCGCTTTCGAAACGTCAGATCTTCAGCATCGACCGATGCTGGGCCAGCGGCGGCGTCCAACGTTGAACGCCCGCGGCGGGGACGCCGCCTGTCGACACGACGCGAACCTGCCCGGAAGAGGTTGGGGAGAATATTGAGGAGGGGGAGGAGGAGGTGGATCGCCGAGTTCGACGAACTCACATGCCGAGAGAGAGAGAGAGAGAGGTCGAAGTCCTCCTCCTCCTCCTCCTTCTCCTCCTCCTCCTCCTCCTCCTCCTCCTCCCCCTCATGCCTCCTCCTCCTCCTCCTCCTCCCCCGGGGCCCGGCCTTTGAGCCGACGACTTTTCCGCCCCCGCCCCGGCCGCCCCGGCCTCCTCGCTGCCCCGCCGCCCGCGGCGGGCCCGCGGCGGGCTTCGCCGCGGGCCCCGCCGCGGGGCCGGGCGAGCACCGCTCGGGCGCCTCGGCGCCGCTGCGGCCCACGAGGTGGGCCGGCTCGGCGATCTTGCTCGGGCGTCGCGTCACGGGGAGGGCGGGGGGACAGGGTCGAGCAGGGGGATCGTCTACAGCGTCGATCCGCCCCAGAAGCCTCTTTGACCCTCTCGTCGGATCCACGGGCGTCCCACGCAGTGCTTCGTGGGCTCGACGCGCAAGTCAGTTTCGGGGGTAGATCAATTCCGTGGACGGCCCCCCACTCGAATGAGGGGGGCGGCACAGCCGTCCGTGGCGGCCGCAGCCGCGGCGCAGGCTCCGAGGCTCCCGCCGTGGCCGCCGTGGCCGTGGCCGCCGTGGCTGTCCGCGCGGTGGCCGGCCGCGCCGTGGCCGCCGTGGCCGTCCCCGCGGGGGGTGGGGGAGGAACGTTTGAGCAGGGACCGACCGTCCCGGCATTTCTACGGGCCTACCACGATATGATCTTAGAACCCAGACATGTTCTAAGAGCAAAAACCACGTTCTTGGAATATGAACCCGATGTGTAAAAACAAGACCGACTCAGCCAGAAAGGTTTTAAGAACATCTCGTGCAAACCACAATAGGTTCTTAGAACATTCTTTGGTGGGCCTATAGGGGAGCCAGGACGCTTCGCCACTGCTTGAACTTGCACCTTTCGCGCCCTTCCTTTTGTCTAGAGGGCGCCCTTTTGAGCACTCGAAGTGCACCCCTTCTCACCCCCCAATTGATCGCTTCCCCCCATGGCGCAACGCCCGGCTGGTTCTGCCTCATGACCTCCTGGGTGGCGCCCTCCACCTGAGGGGCACCGAACCCCCACCTAGGGTTAGAAAGTCCTGGGTTCGCTTGGGACTGGCTTCCCCCCCGAAACGACCCCAACCTTCCCAAGCCCCTGTGTAAAGTCTCCTCAAGGGTTCTGGTAGGTTCTTCGGAGGGCTTCGGGAAGTCTCTGGAAGGGTTTCCGTCGTTTTGAGACACAACAAATTATCCAGGCAAAGCAACCTAACAGCGATGTGTAGAAGCATATCTGAAAGCATTCCCCTTAAGATTCAGATGAAAATCCAGTTGTAGAATTCTGCTGTTCTCGCAGTCGTAGTCGCATTCGCGATGACAGTCGCAGCGGCAACGGCAGTCGCAGTCACAGCCTCAGCCTCAGCCTGCCTCAGCCTCAGCCTCAGCCTGCCTCAGCCTCAGCCTGCCTCAGCCTCAGCCTCAGCCTGCTTCAGCCTCAGCCTCAGTCTGCCTTCAGCCTCGGCCTCAGCCTCAGCCTGCCTCAGCCTCAGCCTGCATCAGCCTCAGCCTCAGCCTCAGCCTGCCTCAGCATCAGCCTGCGCCTCAGCCTCAGCCTGCCTCAGCCTCAGCCTGCTTCAGCCTCAGCCTCAGTCTGCCTTCAGCCTCGGCCTCAGCCTCAGCCTGCCTCAGCCTCAGCCTGCCTCGGCCGCAGCATCAGCCTGCCTCAGCATTCAAAATGTGGCCCAGGAATGGAGTTCTGGGAACTAGAAGAACACGAAGTGGCCTACAGTTGGCTCCGGGCATTCAAAATCATGCCCAGGAATGGAGTTCTGGGAACTTGAAGAGCACGAAGTGGCCTACAGTTGGCTCCGGGCATCCAAAATGTGGCCCGGGAATGGAGTTCTGGGAAATCGAAGAGCACGAAGTGGCCTACAGTTGGCTCCGGGCATCCAAAATGTGACCCGGGAATGGAGTTCTGGGAAGTCGAAGAGCACGAAGTGGCCTACAGTTGGCTCCGGGCATCCAAAATGTGGCCCGGGAATGGAGTTCTGAGAGCACCAAGAGCGATTTTGCGAGGATGTCCCAAGCGATTTCGGCTTCGGCGGCAGCCGCCCCGGGTCCCGCCCCGACCCCCCTGTGGAGTCATCTGCTGCTCTCTTTTGAGTCCACTAGAAACCTATCAGCAAAAGCTGTTAGGTAAAAACGATCCCTAGCGAACCCCGGTTTTTCCGAACCGAGTGGCCTCCTAGATCAGGTCCGAGTACATGGGGTCGGAGGCTCTCGCCGCATCGCCAATGCATCGGCGCTGCATCGGCGACATGCGCCATGGACGTGGAATGGACGTGGAGAGCATCGGGCTTCACGTCGAGCCGCATCGTCGACGCATCGGCTATGCGGCTCAATTCTTCGACCCTATCTACTCGGACCGCATCTGGGAGGCCTAAACCATCCGCACTCGTCGTGGCAAACTCACGGCGGGCGGTTTGGGGCAATTTTCGGCAACTGGGAGCCCACGCCAAGCACCGGGACCGTCACCATGACACGACTCGGGATGAGAAGCCGGTCCCGGGAAAGAAATCCAGACCTCCCTGGGGCCACGTCGCGACAAAACACGGCGCTAGGGTTCGGAGAGGGAGGGAACTGCCCCCCAGGGGGGGATCACTGGCCTGGCGTCTGCGAGACGTCGCCGACAGGTCGGCGATGCGCCCCCGATGGGGATCCCCCCCGTTCCTGCGAACGCTGGGGCAGCCGGGCCCTGGCCGGCGAGGAGTGAGGGGGCCCCTCGGGGCCGACTCCCGCGTCGGAGCTCGGGCTTCTGCTGCCTGGGGCCGAGGCGAGCCTGGCTTAGTCAGGCTTGGCAGGATCCTGCGCGATCCTGAAGGATCTTTCGCCCAAGCCTGGGTCAGTGCAACCCGGCAGGACCCTGCAAGAGCCGGCGCTCCGGCGGACCCCCGCTTGCAGTACCCCCCGTCTCAGGGCCCCCGAGGCGCCCTGGACCACCTCGCAGCGGCGCAAGGCCACCAGGCGGTCTCCAGAGAGGTCGAAGCGCAGGAAGGGCTCGCGGCAGCCCGCCACCAGCTCCGCGAGGTGCGCCAGGTTGCGCACGCGCACCCCGTCGCACTTCTCGACCTGCCTCCTCCTGTGCACCTCGTAGCCCTGCGTGAGCTCGCAGGCCAGCACGTCGCTCAGGAGCACCACCTGTTGCCCATGGAACTCCACCTGCCCGTCCTCGCAGAGGCAGATGAGGTGAGCAGGGCATCCGCTCCTCTAAGAAAGATAGATACAGCACATACAGTTGCTTTCGGAAGAGGCAGAGAAGGCACCATGGGGCTCCAGATGGAGCGGAAAACTGTCGGAACGACTGGGGCCAGGGCCAGCTTTAGCGACCTCCGACCTCGCAACAGTCAAGGAACCGTCGGGCCAAGACCGAAGGGATAGTGTTGGAGGAAGAGCAACCTGCGTAAATCGGAGGTTGGGGGGTGAGATCGCGATGGGACGGAGAGCCCCCCCACCGGGAGATCGGTTTTGGCTTCGCGTTCGTGTCGTGCGCGCGGGCGAAGTGAAGCTGCGTGGGCGCGCTCGGGGATCTCCTGACCCGGGTCAATCCAGACCCGGGTCAGTCAAGCCTGCAGAATCCTGCAAGCTTCTGCATGATCCTGCACCCAAGCCCGGGTCAATGCGAAGGATCCTGCAGGATCCTGCAGGATCCTGCACTCACACCCGGGTCAATGCGACCCTGGCCCTGCAGGATCCTGCAAGATCGGGCGCTCTGGCTGACCCCCGTTTGCATTGACCCCCGTCTCGAGGCTCCCGACGCGCGAGAGGAATGACCCCGCCGGCGCTAGGGCAATTCGGATGCCGCGGACCGCCCCTCCGCCCCCCTGCCGGGCGCGTGGCGGCCGTGGGTGACTCCCGCCGTGGTGTCCTGTGGTGACCCGTTGGTGTCCCCTTGGTGTCCCGCCGGTGATGCGTCGGCGGTGGGCGGGCGAAGGCCGGGGGCCTCCTACCTTGGTATCGATAGTGAGGTCGACAGTGAGGTCGATGATGCGATCGCTAGAAATGGAATGAATGGTGATTTCAAGAGTGAGATCGAGAGTGAGGTTGCTTGTGACAGTGGTTGTGAGATCGATCGTGGGATCGAAAGAGGAATCGACAGTGGCATCGACTGTGAGATCGAAGGCGAGATCGCTTGTGAGAACGACAGCGCCACTACACCGCAGTGCAACGTCGTCACCGAGCGTCGTCGCGAACTCGAGGGCGCGTCATCGGCATCGTCGCCATCACACCCATCGCATTGGCCAGCAGCTGGCTCTTTCCACCCACCACCCCCAGCCTCCTCATCACCCGACGGGTGGTCGGCAAGCCTGCCCGGATCATCAGGATGCGCGACAATCGGGGATGGACAGACCCCCCTTTAGTAAAACGTGGTTTAGTGAAAACGACCTGAGGCCCACACCTGGCGGGCGCAAGCCTGGAAAATAACGGTCTCGGCGCCCTCTCGAGAACCGAAAAACGGACAATTCACTAATCGACGTGTCACTGTTGGAGGTTCTGTCCACCCCCGAGACAAGGACGCGAGGGCCCTGGAAGCCCATCTCGGAGCTTTTCGAGCGGGGCGCGGGCTACCGAAAGTGGCCAAGGATGAACCGAGGAGGCAAGGATGCAAGGGTACCCCTGGGAGGAGTGCCCTTCCTTACCATGCGGGTTGACTGCATCGCCCGACGGGTAGTCGTATCGGTATACGGTATAAGATTACAGTCGGGGCGTTGACCTAAGGCACGATGAATAAGGAACGGGGCCCCTTTTTCCCACAAGTTCAACTCCGATTTCCCATCGAAAACCAAAGGAAAGCCCAAGGCAAACTGTGAAGCAATCAAGGAACACTGAGCCCCTCCCCAACGAAAAGGGTTCCTTCTTCAGGGCCCCGACTGTAAGATGTCGGAGGTCCGCGCGGACTTTCTGGACCTTCGCGGGGTTCCTCCCGGCGCCGACCCCTCTGGCGCGCTCTGCGCACCAGGGAGGGGGGTCCAGCGCCGACCCAAGAAGTCCGCGCGGCCACTTTTGGAGTCTACGCCCGCGCGAGTCTTTTCTCCTCCGAGCTCCACGAGCTGCCGTACTCCTCCGTGAGGTACGGCTCCGTCAGCGGAACGAGCATCGGGTGCGCCGAGGAGGGGGGCTGTGGCGCACCGTGGCGCGAAGCGTGTGCGCGGACGAGTGGGGGTCCAGGGATGCGCTGAGACAAGAAGAGGAGGGACGCCATGACATCCAGGAGGTTCAACGGCTCTGGCCACGATATCCACACATACACACATTTTGGTCGCGGGCGGGCGGGGCCTCAGGCGGCCGGAGGGTGCAGAGTACAGGCGGTGCCGAAGACCTTGCACAAGACAAGGTGCGCCATGGATAGGAGCCGGGGGCGAAGTCCCGGAGGGAGAGTGGATTGGCCACACATACACACAGTTGGCGTCGGGGCCATGCGGCGCGGCGCGGCGTAGAACAGGTGAGGCGTGCGCGCGCGGCTGCCTGGCTCACGCGGCGTGGAGAATCTGGATCCACCCGTAGGGGAACGGCAACAGCAACAACAACAGCAACAGCAACAGCAACAACAACACCACCACCAACAGCAGCAGCAGCAACAGCAGCAACAACACCACCACAAACAACAACAGCAACAGCAACAGCAACAACAACAACGACAACAACAACAACCACCACCACCACCAACCAACCAGTCAATCAACCAACCAACCAACCAACCAACCAACCATCCAACAACAACAACAACAACACCAACACCAACAGCAACAACAACAACAACACCACCAACACCAACAACAACACCAACAACAACTCCACCACCACCAACAACAACAACACCATCACCACAACCACCAACAACAACAGCAAAAACAACAGCAACAGCAACAACAACAACAACACTAACAACAACATTAACAACATTAACGGGGAGACAGCAATTACAGTCAACCGATATAGTAAAGACGCGCGAGAAAGGATACAAGGGCCTTGGAAGGCCATGCCGACACTTTGCGAGCGGGGCGCGGCCAGCGAAAGCGGCCAAGAATGGGCCGAAGGGGAAAGATACAACGGCAACCTTGGAAAATTGCTCATCCTCATCCTGACTATGCGGGTTGACTGTAGGGGGCGTAGGGGGCGGACGGGAGGCAAGGGGGGGAGAGAGAGAGGGAAAACGAAGCAGTGCGATGGAAGCGAGGCGCTGTGGGGCGGCGGCAGCGGCAGCCAACCACGAAGTAGGACAGCGAGAGCGCGGGGGACCGGAGCCGACCAGGGGACATATACACACATGCCCGTCGGTCGGAAGAAGGTGATCGAAACACGAAGTAGGAAGGCGTTTGACGTAGATTGGGCTTCCGCCTGCCCTCTGAAGAAGGGAGAAGAAGGGAAACCACCTGATGCTTGAAACAGGAAAGCGCCGAAAACAAATTGGAATCTGGGAACCTGGAGATGCCTGCTTTAACAACCTGCGAGGACATGTCCGGCCACACGCATCGGCTACACGCAAGAGTGGCCCTAGGCAGAAGTTACCCTTGGTGCGCAGACGAGGGGGGCGCACAGTGGCCCAAGCCAAGCGCGCAATCCGCCGCCATCGCATCGCGCTCAGCGATCGAGGGGACCCCGACGAGCCCGCACCAGAGGCCACTCCGGCAAATGGTCACTCTCACGTGCACAGTCGGGGCGTTGACCTAAGGAACCCTACATAAGGAACGAGGCCCCTTCTCCCATCAGATAAACTTCGATCTCCCAGGGAAGACCTTAGGAAAACGAAGGGCAAACTGTAAAACAATGAAGGGACACCGAGCCCCTCCCCAACGATCCGCCGACCCCATGAGGCGTGTGCGGAATCCTTCTCAGCTGTATCCGAGGTTGTCCCCACACATCACACAGTCCCTAGCCATCCTCGCCGGGACCCTCCCCGACCCCCCCTGTGACAGCCAGCCTCCACCCCGCGATTTCTCGCCCAAACTCGACCAACACCCCCCTCCATGCCCCTCCCATGCCCCTGCATCCCCACCCCTTGGACCCTCTGTTTTTGGGACCCCCCACCCCGCGATTTCTCGCCCAAACTCGACCAACACCCCCCTCCATGCCCCTCCCATGCCCCGGCATCCCCACCCCTTGGACCCTCTGTTTTTGGGACCCCCCACCCCGCGATTTCTCGCCCAAACTCGGCCAACACCCCACTCCATGCCCCTCCCATGCCCCGGCATCCCCACCCCTTGGACCCTCTGTTTTTGG